GACACACCCCTAATGTAGCCAATCCTCCAAGAGCTTACAGAGCTCTTCTTACAGGGGCTACTGTAAGCTCTTGGAGGATTGGCTACATTAAGGGGTGTGTCGCCTAATATGCAAAGGAGTTCCTGCTACAAAAAGAGCCCGGACTTGAATTCCTGGGTGTGTGTGTGTGTGTGAATGGTCGACAGCTGGTAGAATTAGGGAGTTTTGCTTTGGTAACTCTTCTATGACACCTCAAGGATGGCTCTTCTCACGGGAGCGTCCTTGAAGACAAGTCTGTGTTTGGCGGGCCGTATATTCTTTCATGGTCTGGATAGTAGTGCTGATGTGTATGAATGGAATGTGGGGTTTTAGTTATACATTGCTTTCCCGCCTTATTACATCAGTAATAAGTTTGAACCCTGAACATCTCATATCTTCTAATAAAACTTTCACCAAAGAAAGTGTGTGTGGAGAGAGATTTGACTGGGAACCTGACACTTACTGGGATAACCTCTTAAAGAGGCAGTACACAACAAGTTCTGCCCTTAACAGCCGTTCTCTGGCTATTGGAAGATGGATGAGCCGGCAAACTCACTGCATTAATTGAAACTAACTGTTATGTATGGAACAGAATATATGATTGTATTGAGTTTGAGTCTAAGCAAGGTATTGTAAACCGACCTATCAGAACAAGGGAAGCAAAGTGATTGGTCTTTATGTACAGTATCTGATTGGATCTTATCTGACATGTGGGCGTGGCTTGCCAAGCCCGGACAGTTTAAAAAGGAGCCTGTTGCTCTGTTGTTTGTCTCGTTCTGGTTCTTCTGACTTCGTGTTCAATAAAGCTGTTATCACTGTTCACCTGCTGCCTCGAGTCTCATATCTAACACTAACAAAGTGTGTTTTTCTCTTTGAAGGTTAATGTCTGTATCTTCTTTCACATTCTAAAGCTGCTGCTTTCGAAACTTAAAGCCCAGCAAATGAATTTCCATGATTATAAATTCAGGTAGGCACTGGGTTCCCAGATTTGTACTAATCTTTTTACCCTTTAGCCTTTTAAACTGAAAACAAAATTTTACAATAATTTGCAATGACTTCTACAAGGGGGAACTGATGGCTTTTTTAAAAAAAACATAGCATTAATTTAGAAAACAAAAAAATCCATTAAAATGGACATCAATTTTGAGATTAAGAATAGGAGGCCTCACGTAGCATTCCAGCTGTCTCCGAAATGGCTGGTCTCCACTATTTAGCTTAGATAAAATGTAGCATTCCAGCTGGTCTCCACTATTTAGCTTAGATAAAAATCATCACTAATCTCTGCCTAGGTTAAAGAAGTTCTCAGTATTATGCTTTTTGGGAACCCACGAATGGTTGCTGGGGGAACAGGAAAAAGAAGACACCCCCCTAACACACATAATGAATCTGGTCGAGACCTCCTTTTGCTCCCAATCAACAAATGACAGAGGAGGGAATTTGATTCAGAGACAGTGTAGTCCAGTTTTCTTTTCTGGGGTGGCTGATGCTACACTCTGAGAACTCTCCGGTATAACAACATTCTGTATGAATTGACCCACTCAGTATTAGCTGACTCATTTCCCACATAACCATTCCTCTGTGGTTTCCACTTGCCTACTGCCCTCAGTTTAGAGTTACTCCCTTCCCTGTGAGGGCAGGGGATCTTCTGCCCTCAGCTGACATTTCCCACTGCAACTGTGTGGTGGTGGGAGACAAAATTTAAAAAATTGGGCTCCTTTCAAAGTGCTGTTTACCTTTCAAGTGATTCTTTGGTCTGAGACTAGTCTACATTTGAAGAACTTCTACTTCATATGAACCAGCCTGTTTATTGTGGCCATTATCCAAAGCCCTACTCTCTGTGCCCCATTGTCTGAATAGAGGGATAGACATATAAGACAGGGACTTTTTTTGTAGTGGACACTCAGTTATGGAACATCCTCCCCCCAGATATTCAGCTGGCACACAGTAAGTCTCTAGAGCCAGCAAAAACATACTTGTTTAGCTAGTTTTCTGTTCATTATCTTTAATGTTATTTTAATATGTTATGCAAGTATTTATGAATTGTTTATATTGTGTTTGAATTGCCTATAAGCATTTTGGTAGCATGAGCAAGACAGAAATGATTAAAATGCAATAAATGTTATGTTGAGTCCATCTTGGTTTCTTGATCAGTTTTGTGTCAAAGATATTTTACATTTTTTTTTATTTTAAGGTTGGCAAGATCAACTCTGGTATTAATACCATTACTTGGGATACATGAGATTGTCTTTTTCTTCATCCTTGATGAACAAGTCAAAGGGATTTCCAGGGATATAAAACTCTTCATTCATCTGACAATGAGTTCCTTCCATGTAAGTTTTCATGATAAAAAGATTTTTTTAATACCATCAATTTAATTTTAATCGAAAAAACATTAAAAAGGTGGGGGGAGGTAACCAGTATTTCACAACAAGAAAAAGAGATTATAGAGTTGAATAAGAATAATTGAACTTCTTATTTTAGTCTGAAACAAACAGCGCCCAGTGCAATAGAAACTTATTATATGTCTGGCATCCTAACCATAATATAAATATGTCAATTTTATCCTAGTCGGAAGAACCTGACTATGGAAAGTCTGTTAAAAGTTAAAGTGGTTGAAGATGTAAGGGTGACAATAGAGGGTGAAGACAATGGAGTGTTAAAGGCTAAAATAGTAAGCAGTAAATAAATATGGAGAGAAAAGTTTAATGGAAATTTATGAATTGGATTTAGGCTAGGGAATACTATATAGAGTATAATTAATTTATGATCAGTAAAAATAATTAGGTGTATGTGTATGTGTGAATGAATGTAAAATGTGGAAGATTCTGGAAAGGTGTTGAAAAATGATTAGTTTAAAGGGCACTAATTTTCAAAGGAAGTGGTTGGTGATGAAAATAAAGATATAAAAATTAGTAAAAAATGAAGGGACGTAAGGAATATTATAATAGCAAAATAATTGTATGAAAAAGTATCTCAGAATTAGAGGGGATAGATGTTATAGTGAAAATCCAAACAAGTGGAGAAAAAGATAAAATATATACAAATGAAATAAATTCTTGCAATATATATGTTTATAGTAGAAATAAGTAACTTATAGCTGATTTGAATAAATGAGATGTATTAAAATGTAATTGTAGATGCAGTCAGGTTAGGTGACTCCCGAGTAATGGAGGGTTTGAGATGGTTAAAATTTGGCACTAAATCAGATTGCTGGTATGGAACTTGATGAATGCCATATGTAGAGATTAGTATTCGGTTAGTGGTTGACTATGGAATGAATTTGGGAACATCAGAAAAGTCCTTATTTGACTTAGTTGCTGTTAAAAAGTATTTTTGGTTGACATGTTGACTTTTGATGATGTTATTGTCTATAAGCTATTATGTTACTGTTTATGACTTGAAAACCCAATAAATATTTTTTTTTTAAAAAAAGAATATCCTACTTCTATGGACCCATTTCTAAGGACCAAACAATTTCTACTTATTTTTCTCAATTCCTTCCTCCCATTGCAGCCCAAATTACCCCCTGAAATGCTTCTTCAAGAGAATAGAGAAGAATGTAAGCAATATGCTGGGCCAATGTTTGTTCAAAGGGCCATTACTCTAGAGCTCCCTACACCACAATGTGTGTGTATGTTCTAAGTGTGCCCAACATGAGGCCAGAGAGTTGTAGCCCCATGCCACATGCCCTACCGTCTGAACTATTACTTGCTTACCTGGGATTTGTATAATGTTTCTGGAAGCTGTGATTGGGTACAGACTTAGCTGCTTCTTAAACTGAGCCATAGCTGTGCATGAGTAGTGGGAGCAGTTTTTTTCCATTCCCAACAAGTTCAATGGGGAGCATTTATCCTTGCACCATTTTTTTCCCTCATGCAAAGTAATACCATCAAGTAGGGGCTCAGCATACCTGGAAAATCTTACAATACTGACTTTGTGCCTCTGGTGTGCCCTTGACACTGCCAATTTCTAACTGCCATCCACTGTCCATAGACTCTATACACAGTCACATGACCTCTGCTCCCTATTTGCTTCTTGCTGAACCTTCTGTAGTGGAGGTATAATGTACTGGGTTCAAGACACATAGTCAAGTGATTTCAGCTCATAATTTATTAGTAGGCAAAACTGAGACAAGGAAGCAGGACCGGGGGGTCTGCTTATATGTCCGTTCATGCCACACCCAACTAACACACCTCACACCCGTGATAGGTTTATTTACAGTGCACCAATAACCTTAGGTTCCTTTGCGGATCTGGGCTAACCTATTGGTCCATTTTAGGATCCTACGAGTCTGTTGTTTTGGGTCGCGAAGCTTTGCTAGTGCACTTGACCACGTGCGCACCCATCCACGTATGTGGTCCTTTGTATACATAACACCCCTCCCCCCAAAGTTCGGTTCCTCCTAACAGACAAAGTCTTTGAGGTGGGTGGGCCTCCGCCGTTCCCTGGTGGACCGGCGTACTTCGGGGGCCAGGGACGTCCCTCCTGGCCCGACCCTCAGCTGTTCTGGCAAAGCTTCCGGTCGCTCCGTTGGGGCTGGAGTATTACTGGATTCATGACTACGAGGCCAATCAGCGTTGTTGCTGGTGGCTGCTTCTGCCAGAGCGCTTGGCCACAGAGGAGCGTGTGCGGACGTATCCTGATCCTCCGGCTCACTTTCTGCTGGGCTCAGCCGTTCGTCCTCGCTATCCTCTGGTTTGTCAGGGTCGGCCATGAGGATGCAGTGGCGTAGTTGGTCCACATGTCTCTTTAGCAGTTGGCCATCATCCCTGGAGACTTCGTATGACAGGGGGCCTGTCACTCTGATTACCTTGGCCGGAATCCATGCTGGACCCCAGGCATAGTTCCTGGCATACACAGGATGCCCTGGAAAGAATCCTTGTGGTGCCTCTTGATTCTCTGGGGTTGTGCTGTGTTCTGGTGCCCGATCGGGGTGCAGATGGTCTAACGTCGTCGTGGGCCGCCGTCCCATCAGTAGCTTTGCTGGGCTGTGTCCGGTGGTGGAGTGTGGCGTGATTCTTTGGTTAAAGAGGAAGGTGGACAGCTTGTAGTCCCAGTTCCCTTGATTCATGCAGCACAGTGCATCCTTCGTTGTGCGGACCATGCGCTTGGCCTGGCCATTGGTCGCGGGGTGGAATGGTGCGGAGCAGATGTGCCTGATCCCATAGTATTGCACGAACTCCAGGAACTCTGCGGAGGTAAAGTCAGTTCCGTTGTCCATTACTAAGGAGTCTGGGATGCCGTGCGTGCTGAAAATCTGCCACATTTGCCCATATGGCAGATCGAGATGAGGTGGATGGAACTGGGTCCACTTCCAGCCATTTGGTGTAGGCGTCCACCAGTATGAAAAAGATTTGTCCTTGGAAGGGTCCTGCAAAGTCTAGATGGAGCCTAGCCCACGGCTTGTGTGATGACTCCCATGGCCACGTGGGAGCCCTGGGGGGTTCAGGCCATGACTCCTGGCATGTTTGGCAGCGCTTCACCCGGTCTTCAATTTCTGCATCCAGCCCCAACCACCACACATAGCTCCTGGCCAGAACCTTCATCCTTACAATCCCCAGGTGTGTGTCATGCAAAACTGTGAGCACCTGCTTGTGCAGCGGAGCTGGCACCACCACCCGGCTTTCCCATAGCAGGCACCCTTTATGGGTCAACAGCTCATTTCTGCGGGATGAATAAGCGGCAAGCTCTGGGCCCACTGGGCTAGTGGGCCACTCCCTCCCCACCCAGTCCCGGACCTGGGAGAGGACGCGGTCACGGGCGGTGTGGCGAGACACGTCGAAGACCTGGACTGGCCAGTTGGGAAGATCCTCCAGCAGGGCATCATGGTGAGCCAGGTCTGGGTTGCAGGAGGGCAGCGGGAGATTGCTGAGGGTGTCAGCATGACTCATCACTTTACCGGGGCGATGGACTAGCGCATACTGGTACCTGGCCAGGAATATCAACCAGCAGAGCATCCGGGGGGAGAGCATCTGTGGGGTCTGGCGGTCCTGGGCAAGTAGTCACAGGAGAGGCTTGTGGTCCATGACCATGGTGAAAGGCTGGCCGTAGAGGTAATCGTGGAACGTTTTTACTCCTGCCACGATTGCCAGGCCCTCCTTGTCGATTTGCGTGTAGTTACGCTCAGCTGGCGAGAGAGTCTGCTGTCATCTGGTTCCCCTGGAGCGGCAGGCTCGGCGATGTCTTCCCGCAGGACTGGCAGGTCACATCCTGAAAACAGCAGGAACGGGGTTCATGCGAATCCCCACAGCTGGCACATGTTAGTTGTGCATTAGTTTTCACGGCTTGTGGGGTGGACATAGAGGGCGGTCGTTGCCCCCGGCGGTCTGGCCGGCAGACTTGGAGGACCTCTTCCTCATCCAATGCATCTGAGGCGTGGGCATAGGCCACGTGGTGGGCTGATGCCACTTGGCAGTCTCTTTGCACCTTTTCAAAGGTCATGGCTGCTTGGAGGGCGTTGTCCAGCTTGATGTCATTGAGGCCAATGAGTTTCCTGTGGAGTTTCTGTTCTCAGACCCCACAGACAAAACTGGTTCAACAGGGCGTCCTCGATGGCAGGAAACTCACAGTTGATCGCCCGCCAGCGGATGTCAGCCATGAAGTCAGCGGCTGCGTCCCCTGATTTTTGGGTGTGTGCAAAAAAGTCCATGTGCATGGCCATCTTGGATGGCTTTGGCACAAAATGGTCAGTGAGGGTCTTTACCAGTTCCTTGAATGTTGCAGCATCTAGCTTCTTTGGAGTAATAAGGCTCTGGGCCAGATGGATTGTGGAGATGACGCATGTGCTGAGAAGCCATGATTTCTTCATGTGGGGGTCAGTGGTCCCCTGGACCTGGAAGAAGTACGTGAGCTGTTCAACCCATGCCTCCCATAGCTCAGGGTGGGCTGGGTTGAAGATGGAGATATGTCCCAGAGCAGCAGCCATGACTCGGGGTGCTGTAGCGGTGCGGGGCATGTGGTCCTGCAGATGGAAGCATGGTGCAGTGCTTGCTTCTGAGCTGGGGTCAGGTTTGCTCATCGGGGTCCCATCCTTGTCTCCAGTGAAAAGTACTGGGTTCAAGACGCATAGTCTAGTGATTTCAGCTCATGGTTTAACAGGCAAAGACTGAGATGATGAGCGGGGCCCGGGGTCCTGCTTAAATGTCAATACAAGCCATACCCAACAACACACCCCACACTCGTGATTGGTTTATTTACAGTGCCATAACCATAGGTCCGGACTGACTGACTGATCCGATCTTGGATCCTCTGCGTCTATTGTTTTGGTCACAAAGCTTTGTTTGTTTGCTTGACCACGTGCGGGCCCAACCGCGTGCGTGGTCCCTTTGTT